GATCTTCTCCCGGGTTGGATATTTTGGCCTCCCGGCGTCTGAGAATCTCGACATCAAGGATAGAACGATCACTCCTGTAGCTATTTGGCCAGGAGTGCTAGGACTCTCAACACACCCCTACTGCTATCGGACACAGCCAACCGTATCGGTTGAAGTACAAGATCGCGAGACGGCTCAAGTGGCCAGAAAGGCTCGCGACTCAAGTACACATTTTGGCACAAGGTAATCAGGGCAGATCACGGCGACTCTAGGAGAGCTCCAACCCAGAACACGCGATCGGGTGAGGATTTTCGACCCGATCAGCACCAATCTCTACAACGGTCAAGTTTAGCATCTCGTCGAGCTCATCTAGAAGAGTGCAACCCGATCTGACGACGGGTACACAAGGTGAAGAGGAAACAAGTGCAAGCGGAATCGGAGTACCCCTCCGTTCGTCGGTCGTCTGGGTGCTAGTGAAGAGTCGGGATCGCCTCAAAAAATGAGCGAACCCCACTCCACAACATTAATCTTAGCCATACCATCTATGATGAAGTTCTTCCTTGGTATCGGCGTTTAAGCCGGTTCCGTCGAAGCGTTCAATTTGTTGAACGCGTGCACTATCCGCCACCCTCCTGTGGACTTTCGCACACAGAAGGTCAAAGAGCTGTGTGGGGATATTAATTCCCTCACACGACCAGCCGCTAAACGATCGGCAAAGAACTTGTCGATCGCTGTGACCTGTCACGAGGCAGTGGCCTATGCTTCATGACACTGTACTTCGAACCGGGCTTCTGTTCAATCTCATGCCGAGTGCTTTTTTCCTTGGGCAGCTCGCATGGCACGGGTTCCGGAAAAACATCCATGAATTTGACCAAATCCTCATGCAAAGAATTTGTCTTCAAAGACCTCCAAGATTGAGACGTGTTATCGCTCGATCCAAGTCTTCTCATTGAGGACACTCTCGTCTGTTGATAAGCTGCTGAGAGCCCGTTCGTTCTCAGCAAAAACACTTGTGCCGACCGAATATCGGCGACGCACTCGTCCTCTGTGACGAGTACGCAGATCTGCTTGATCTTGTCACTACGCAGATCTCGCAAGAATCTTTTAGATTCTATCTTTAAAAACTTTATTACCTCTAGAGCTGACTTCGAGGGGTAATCAGATCAAGTGTGCAAGCGCCCACACTTGATCCGTAATTCATCAAGATATTCACTGTCTCGGTGATTTCCTGGGAAAACGCATCCGCAGGTGGTTGGGGATCCACACCCTCAACATAACTCTCTCTGTAGTTATCACTCTCAGGAAAGCTGGAACTTTCTATCAATACGCGTGCTGACTGTGGGCGTACTACCACATGTCACGTCCTCTTCGATCGACTCTCTTGCAGTCGATCTGGCTTGCTCTACGATCGACTCTCTGTGAGTCGATTCTTCTTTAACGTATTGTTCATCCTGAACAACACTAGTCTCTATTATCGGATGCACCCTTCTTGGTGTGCATCCGTGTTCAAGTCCACTCAATCTCTTCGAGCGGTGAACCTTCGGCGCAGCCTGTGTCGCTACACAGGTGCCGGAAGCTGGTTCCACAGTGTAGTGGCCTTCTACACTGTGATCTTGTGCAGTCATCCTAACGACCGTACCACGAGTGAGGCCATTGCACTCTTTCGTAGTACATTCACACGCTTGTAGACGCTCCAAGAGGTTCATCAGAGGACGTCTTGGAGCGTCCACAAGCGTGTGAACAGGCATCTTCACGGATCGATACTGCCAGCTAACCCACGGCTGGTATTTTCGAAGCCATTACAGACCGTGGATGACATCAAACTTGTCATCCAAATCCAGTACGATGACGTCATCATCGTACTGCTTTCCTCCTAGCGTGCAGTGTGTTCCCACTACACATTTGTTCACTGTTACGGATGCGCCTGTAGCAAGGCACACCGTCATCCATGTCGGAGGGAAATCTCACTCAACATAGTTGAGACTATTACCCTCTAGCGACTGGCGTCGAATAAAACTGTTCGACGCCCCAGAGTCAACTAGGGCGTGAAGTGACATTACACTTGTCACTTCGGTCTTTAAAGTTATGAGGGACACCTCATCACTAAAGGCAGTAATGCACAGCGACTGTGTGTTGGGAGCAATCTTCGTCAAGAGTCCTGCAAATTCTGCTGACGTTTCCGGATCAGAAGGGTGCTCCGCCCCTACTGACCCTGTCCTTTTTTGACGGTCCGACTTGTTGTCGCGGCTTGGCGACATGGTAGGACCCACGCCTTGGACCCTTCCTTGGCCAACGGCGGTCATCACGTCCTGTCTTTGGACGTGTTACAGTGCTCGAAACATTACACTCATGAGCGTAGTGTCCAATCATCTGACAGCGATGACATCTTTCCGTTCGCTTGTGACTCAGAGAGCGAGATTTTTTGCTCTTGACGTAACAGAGGTTTATTGGTTCGGTACCTCCTGTTTCCGGTCGTCTCGTCGGACGATAGTTTAATGAGTTAGCCTGAGACTGTCCCAGGCTGAAGTCTTCTTGTTCCGCATACGCTATCGCCTTTTCCAGCGTATGAAAGTCCTCTTGGAACATGTAGGTCTTCACTGGATCATACAATAGGCCGTAGATGAACACGTTGATGAGCGTGTGCTCAATAACAAGGTTTTCCGTAGCGTTACTCGCAAGGTAGCGTAGGTGCTGTGCGTAAGCGTGCACGGCACGCTTGCCTTGCTTTAGCCTCAAGAGTGCAGAGCGTGCTCTGAACTCGGCGCTCGGCGGCTCAAACATCTCTTTGAGCCGAGGCTTCAAGATCTCTAACGACTCAAACACGTTTGACTCGTGAAGCTTGAGCCCTAAGTCCCAAGTCTCTGCTCGTCCCGTCAAATTTGACAAGGGAAGGTGACTTGCATCTCGTCACCCTCGATGTGACGGGCCCTGATGGCGTCGTCTAACTCGACGAACCATCTTAAAAGGGAATCTTCATCGGTTCCCTTGTGCCTAAAGATGTCTATCTTCAAGGTTTCGGGTCGACGCTTGTGCTTTGGCCCGCCCATCGAGTGATGAGAGCCTTGCCGATGTAGGAAGCCTATCTTCTATCTTTCGACGGCAAGTTCCCCCTGTAGGAACTTTTTGATAGCAGCATGTTGCTGGACTCTGCTTAGAGACTCCAACATACCACTGATGGCGGGTTCGCCCATGAGCACACTCATGCGATCGACTACCTCCCATTCTGAGTCACTCAGATAAAAGTAGCCTTCTCGTGTGACGTGAAAGCTGTCGTCTTCTACGTCCAACATTTTCATGTTGGACGGACACTAAGTAGTCTTTGGACGAAATACGAAGTGCTACCAGGTGTAACGGGGCACCCTTTGTTGGAGTGCCACGAAACTTCACGCACACTAGTACGTGCAGAGGAAGCTAATCTACTTGAACGACTCGTTTGCGTAAAGGGTAAAAAGAGAACTATATCTGATACAATTAAGCTATCAGTGTAACTTTTATCTTTGTCTAACTAAATTAAACTGCGTCGTCATGTGACGACAATCTGCTCACCACTCATTGCGCGCGTCCAGCAGCGATTGGTGGTATCCTTGGTTGATTTGTTTTATATCAACCAATCTTTGAGCAGCACACGAATTCTATCCTAAAAGGGGATAATATTCCTTTAATATTATATATCTCGGATAACGTTGATGGGGATTTATCACGCTAGACAATCTCCCGAGTGACACCGTTTGGTGTCAATATCATGTTACGGGCTACCCCGTTACAAGATTAGCGGGTTCTCCTGCAACCTCAAACGCGAAGGCGAGCAACGAGTGAGTCAGTTCTGCGGGTCTAGAATTGCATATTACACATCGTCACTGGCACCTGAACTTTGTACATAGCGGTCACACTCTTAAGTAGTGTGCGCTGACGAAGCTTTTTTATCAGCTGCAATTTTTTTGAATCAAGAGATTCTTACACACGTAGTCACTGACAATTTCTTCAAGCTGTTCTCAATATTGCAAACACCATCGATCCATTTCGTGGAAGTGGTGATTATCTGTTTAGAAACTTTCCGTCGTGACCTTAAACAAAATGTCGATTCCTACTTTCCAACACGTGTACATGCTTTCGTGCCCTGAGGCTTGCTTGAGCTGCTTTCAAGGCGCTTACAAAGTCACAATGACATGGCATTGGTGTGAAGCAGACGTAAGCTTTGACAACTGCGTGTAATTATTGAAGATGTAGAGACTATTTATTGCCAGCCCGAAGGGTGAATCAATCAGCTGCTGTGCCACAATGTGATTACCGAGCTTTATAAATCGTATGCATCTGTCCGTCCGTGTGTTTGTAAATAGCTAGGTGTACCATGCGCATACTGAGTGCGATCTAGTCTGTACACCCTCATCGGTAAGGACACGTACGTAGTCACTCTTTGGCAAGGTCACCATTGTGGCGCACGCATATGATTGGCTTATAATTGACCACAAAGTGAATTTAGTCACGCACATCAGCAAATGCTGGACGCTCATTCTTCAGTGGCTGCTGTTGTACGGTATTTCGCCACCTAATTCAGTTCTTTGAACTGGATTTCTTCTGTCAAAGGACAAGCTCCAAGCTTGCTCCCCCACCTTACAGTTGCAGTCGAATAAAGACCAATCAAAACCTTCTCGAGGTACTTCCGGCCGAATTCAAAGAAGGGTGGCGAATGACTGAGATTTACTTGGAGGGTGGATAGCGCTTCCCCTATCGAACAGGATAGTTCAGGACGTAGTTTTACTTCTAGCTTACGAAATCCATAGAGTGACACCCTTCAACCGTCTCGACGCCTCTTTGATCCACAATTAGAAAATCTCTGATGGGTTGGCTGCAGAAGTATGCTACCAACTATGGTCACATCGTGAGACGAAAGTATGGACATGACATGATGAACGATATCGGCAAAGGCAAAAGTCAAAGCAGTGTGAATGTATTCAGCAAACGAAAAATGTAAAGCTAGAAAGCGGGACGACGCGAGTGTCAACGGTCAAGCAACTGACCCCTTACGCCTCGAGCATTTTCTTCTCGTCAACACAGGCCGGCTTATCCACGTTGTCAACAAATTGGCACTTCTCATGAAGCCACGGTGGGTAGGCGTGTAGCTCCATACCCTTGATGGGATGGGTGAAAGCGACCATGGGTCCAAGCTCTATATACTTCTTCTTTGCCCCCTCCGCAGTCAAGCCGTCTTCGAACCATCGATTGTATTTACGTTCGTGCCGATGCTTGTTCGCGTCGTCGAAAAATCCCGTCGAGTTCACTTGGCTCGCCGAGCTGATAGAGCTGGTCGAGCTTATCGAACTACTTTCGTCGAAGATGTCGTCCTTGTGGGATGGCAGTGATCCGTTGGTCTCTATCGCGCCGTTTCCTGAGGTGAGCTTGGTGTAGTTCTCAGTGCCGTAGTAGGGCGGGATCGTGGGTGGAGAGTCTTCTGCTTCCGACAGACGTTGTAGCTCGCTGGAGTCCTCAAAGGAATCCGAGCTGTCGTCGAGCGTCTTAGGCGCGGCATGATTTTCAGAGGCTGGGATTTGAACCGAGCCGCTGACAAAAGTCGAGACGCAGATGGTTGCCGCGGAGAGAAAGATCGATGGACGCATCGCGGGGGCAGAAGAGGTGTTCGAAGAGGATGAGACTTGGAGACGGTAAATTGAGGAATGACAGTTGCTCGGTCCACTGAACAAAAGGATTCGGTCCGAACGAGGGTGTCGGTGGTCTGGGTGACAACGAAGGCGACAGAGAGCGCGACCAGGGGCTTTTTCTTCAAGTCCAAAAGCTGGTCGGTCACTCTACTTCTGGTCTTTTCCGCTAATCTTGAGCGACAGATTCTTCCGTGAGCATACACGCCTCTTTTAATTCACTCTCATCGTAGACAACACGAGCGTACCGCTGCAGAATCTCCTAGTGAGTGCTAATCGCTGGTCTGGGCATCGCATACAAGGAGTAAGTCAGTACGAGTGATGGGACGGCAGATCATGCGCGCGAACAGGTTTCAGATCAGCTGAATCTGCTCGAATGGTGGTCTGTCGAGCGAGCGTTGCATACAGCAAGCCAGTCAAAGAGCGAGCCCTGTTCTCGGATCTGTCTTAATCTACAACCGGGAGCCGAAGTTGGCGAAACAAGAAAGAGCGATAGTGCGAGGACATGGTCTTCTTCAATGTATGTCGCAAAGAAAATGTCTCTACATTCTCTTCTGCCTATCTAGCTGGACCAGACCTCTTGCGGTGGTTCTGTCGGTGGGTACCGTCGTGCTGTTCAGTCGCCGAGCTGTATGCAGTCAGTGCCTTAACGTGAGGAATTCACGCTGATAAAGCCGGCTATCAGGGAATAATCTGCACATCAGATTTTGCGTCTTCTGGATCATATTATGGACCGTGCGTTTTATTTGACGATACTCTAGCTCGTGCGCGGTCAGAACTAGACGTCTAACTTGCGAAGACCGCTCCACATCGTTCATCTACCTACAGCTATCGCTGAAACCACTTTGGTCGCAACGAAGTTATCATAGCATTGTCGATACCTGTAGTGCTTAATCGTGTCGTCCTCGTAAAAAATCGACGTCAATGAACCAGCCATTTGAGAAAAAAAGGAGTCGTTCGCGCTGCTATGTGCGACATCCTTCAGGCAGAATTCCGGGAGCCAGCGAGCATCTGGTCGGTCCCGCGGCTACGCAGAATACCGTGACCACTCTGTCGCGCTTTTATCAGCCCATCACCTGGTTCGGCTTCTTTGTTGCCACCTGTTTCGCGTAAAGTGTACAGTGAGTGAGATAAATTAAAAACCTGTTTTTCAGCTATAAATTCAGCTTGACTCGTGCAAACGATTGCCTGTTGGACGTCGATAGGTGTCATGATCGCTGGCAGTTTAGTAGGTATGCGAGGCCTTCTGTGGTCGCTTCCATTGCAACGTCCGACGAACAAGTGGCGGCCTGCTAAGAAGTGCGCTATTAGATGGCTACATATCGATGCAAAACGCACCTCGTTCCTTGCCGTTTGATTGTTAGAAAATGAACATGACGATCCGCCATCGACCACCTCGTGGATGGACTTTGCCCTACGCGTGTAAACCAAATCGACTGTGCATCGTATCCTGACGCGAATATTGGCCTCCCCTGAGCTTGAGGTTTTGGTGATTGAACGGGGAGCTGTCACTTGTACTATGAGAACCTATGTAGCAGCTATACGTCGTGTTCGGTCCTGCCTGTGTACGTCTATCCAGTATCTCGTTTTGACTCGAACCTCGTTAAAAGTCTGCTAAGTTGTAGCTGATCGTTGCCTCTCCGTGGCTGATCAATTGTAGGAGAGATGTTATAGACTTTGACGAAAGATAAAGAGGAAGTTATAAGCGGTGGTGGTCGGCGCTTTACTGATTGCTGAGTAAGGTATTTCTTCTGTCTTCAGTACCTCTCTGCATCCATCAGAATCATAGAGAAGTGCTGCACTATCGAATTGCTAGGTCCATGAAGCATGGACAGATACCGCCGAGCATGTTGGCGCACCTGGATTGCAATTGATCGGGGCATGAAAATGTGTACGAAATCAGCATGGGCCTTGCCGACGCGTACCACCATCATGTTAAGGCTTGCCTAAACAAAACTTACGAGCATGACGTTCTTAGCGATTCCGTCGAGCTTGGTTGAGCTAGTGGATAGCCGATATCGATCGTCCCGAAGTGTGCTCAAGCTACCAGCAAAGTCAGCAAACACATGAGAGACCAAGTTGTCGTCGACGAATGCTGGAACGCTTGCCAAGTACCAACTCGACGGCTTCGTAACCATTAATTATGCCGTTTATGAACAACTTGCTGGTCGATAGGACGACTTCCAGACATAAAATGTATTCGGTCATAGTAGCAAAGCCAGATTTAGACCTGCCATGAAAGCGATTGGAAGCTGCTCATCGCCTGCACAGCCGAAGTTGCATGAGCGAGAACGAGAGTATCCAGTCGAGGAAAGCGCTAGTCCGACGGGGACGAGATATCGAGAGTGCACTGGCAAAGTTTTGGGCGTTGATCCTCTTCCCAAACCACACTAAGTACCAAAGCTCACCCTCATAATCTTACGCATCAACCATCGCGGGTATCAGTTCATCGTATTCTTCTAGCACACGATTACTTGCCAAAAGAAACCTGCGCTGTCGTTAAATTGGCAGCAGACCTAGAAAACTCTTCGAGACTACAGCACACATGTCGTCATTTATAGTGCATTTCAGGCCGGTACGCGAGCAAATGAGGAAAGATGCATGCAGCATCGTGGATGATTTTGTGACTTGACCGTGGGTGTTTGACTTTCAAGTCCATCTCAGTCAACAGTCGTAGACTTTATTGTAGTAGTGGCGATACGCTACCAAATATTCATGAGCAAGTTGTAACGCTCAAACACAATCATAGAATAGACATCGTCAATCGAAGTTGGTAGAGTGGAGTCTACCGAAGAATGCATCGATATATTGCAAGCCTTGATGCACAGAGGAGAGGGTACATCAACAAGAAAGACAGATCGAGGACAGAGGACTTTCAATGACATGAAGCGAGCCGTTTGTGGTCAACACGTAATTGATTGCCTCTGGAGTAAATGAGATATCCGTTGGGGCTGTGCAGCAACATACTTCACGACTTGTCGTAGTCGACCTCCTTCTCTTCAACGACTACGACAACTTTTGATTCAGTTTTACACTTGCAAGTTCCTAATTAACCACATTGAGGCGGGAGGAAAGTGTCCGTGAGACCAGTATGGCTGTGGCAACACCAAAAAAGGCAAGAAACAGTCTTCGATCACTTCTGATAGACTGGAAGCCAGACACGACCGGATAGCCGAGGTCGATGAGGAGAGGGTGTCTAGATAAACTAAGTGGCTCTTTGGAAACTCGGCTGTGCAAGCTGCCAGTCGAATATCGAGTGCTGATGCAAAACCGATGCCGTAAAACGCCACTTTCGCACGAAAATTGTCGCTAGCACAACTGTCGGCAATGCAGTTACGTCAACGCAACGACTAGGAACCGGATGTATAGTTTTGGATATTTGTACGCAAGTGGGATACGAACTGGTTGCGTGCAAGTATCGACATGGACATTGAGAGCTGAAGTAGGCCGAAAGACCCGAAGCTTCAGTCTAATGGAATAGAGTTCCCACTTTCGAGCCACAGTCGATTCTAATGCAACGCAAACAAGACGATCAGTAAACAAAACGATCATTACACTCTTGTTACTGCAGCTTAAACGCCGCGACGATCATCACCGAGTACTCCAAGTTTGCTCTCACCACCATGCTTCTCCATCGCTTTGCCGGTGAGGACTGCGGTCATCGTCTTACTTCCGCCCGAGAATGAACCCGGTCACGACGCTCAGTGTGGCGATGAACGAGTAAAGTGCAATGTGATTGACAGTCGCGAATTTCTCGTGCACACGCTCACGGGCAATGGCATTGCCCAGCAAGCTGTTGTTGTACGACTCCAGCAGCTGGTAGGCGTAATAGTGTGCACCACGTTCACCCAGGTCCTCCGTGAGAACCAGGTAAACAGGGATACCCTGGATCGACGGACTGACGCGGCCCTTGTTAAAGCAAGCCTTGAGGAAAATATCCTTCTTCGTAAAGTAGTCGAGGTTCTTCGGAGCCAACCCACCCGTAATGTAAAAGCCACCACGAGGGAGGTACTTGAGCATGGCCGACCCAGCTTCGCGACCGTACGCGCTGTCATTAAAAAGCACAGGCAACATCAGATTAAATTCGACCGTTGCGTTGTCTATCACCAAACCAGCAATACACGTACTCGACAAACATCTCCATCGCCTGGTTGCACAGTGCGTTCGTCTTAGCATTGTCACCCACAATCTTGCCCTGCAACGACTTGGCAGCGAGGAATGCGTCGTGCACCTTGCTGTCCACTTTCTCCGGGAACTTGTTAGCCAAGAACTTGTAGATCGTAGCAAGCCCCGGACCACTGACAATGCGTTCGACCGAAAAGCGGCGGTCGCAGCCCAACTCCTCCTTAATGGAATTGTAGAGCTCGATCTCAATGGCATCAGCTGGAGCAAAATCCGTGTGACCTCCTTCACAGGCAAAACAGGAGTACTGTCCTTCTTTGTCAGCTGTTAAATAGCACTCGCCAAGGCCCGTGCCAGCGCCAATGGTAGCAATCGGCATACCCTCTTCCTTTTTAGCCTCGTTTAGTACAATGTACTCATGAGGTTTGAGGGTGAGGAGACCGTATCCCATGGCAGCAAAGTCATTAATCAACTTGACGGTCGTGATCCCCAGCTCTTTTTCCAGTCCAGGCCCGTCAATCTTCCAGCCATCCTGGATGTTTGTGAACCTACAGAGCGGTGTGTACCACATCAAATTAGTGGACCGTCCCATAAACTAGGTAAAAGACCAAACAAACACTCGAATAAAGCGGCCACACACAAACACACAAAAGAACGGGACGTACTCGACCGTATTGTTCAGGACTGGGCCGGCACAAGCCAGCACACAGGCCACAGGCAGTCGGTCGCCCAACTTGGCCTCTTTCATAAAGAGGTGGCACACTTCCGAGAAACTGCCATAGTTCTCATTGTGGTACTTCTTCGCGAACGAGATCTCGCCGGGGGCCACCGATCCTTTGAAAGCTACCGAGCCCGTAGGAATGAGCCATAGCGTCAGACGCGTGTTAGTGCCGCCGCAGTCTCCCGAGATAATGAGGTCGCCTCTGTTTAGATACCGAGCGCAAGGTAAGATTTTTGTAGCGGTAGAAAGAGACAAAGGGGGGAGATAGATGAAAGGTGTAAGAAAGTATGAGGAGGCCATTGTCTTGAATTACGTACGACATTTGAGACTCAAGAAGGAATGGATGTCGGTGGTCACGGTTGAGGCAGATTTAAAACTGACGAGGTCTTTTTGGTTGTGGCATGGCGTGAACCCCTTAAATGAGGCGTGTCGTACGCGCAACTTAAGCGCCTTATTGGTCAAATTAAGCTTCCAGTGCGAGATGAGCCGTTCAGGGTGCACCGCGTGTCTGTCCTACAGGTGTCTGACTATATGAAGACAAATCTTCAAAAGTTAGCACACGATGCAACGTAGCTATCGTGACGTCGCCCGCAAATAGATTTGGCCGGGTTGGGACAATCACGATCGACGATCACACGCGGGTTTTCTCTCACAGTGTTTGAGCATTTGAGTGGAAAGCTTGGAAAACAAGTAGCGGCACGTCGGCCCACATTGCGTAAACAGGACTTGTACACGAGGCGATTTCGTCCACGACATGAGCCGTATTTCGACCACAGTAGATCATGTCGTGGGTCTGCGACTGCATGAAGCAGTTCCTTTACGCTTCGAATTGGTCGAATGGGCTGCTGCTTTTTACGATCAGGTCGGGCCGAGCAGAACTCACACGACTGTTGTCAAATGGTACATTAGAAGTGCCTTCTTTGCGAGGAAGTCCGATTCTTTTGCAATGCGGTCGGTACTAGTTTCACGACAACATATACCCACACTACAGATTTGAAGACGCGTAATGGTCGCCTGAGACAGCGAAAAGAACAGCAATTGACTGGATTACAATGACAGCTAGTTCTGCCCTTGATCGATCGAAGACAAGATGATTCATATCTTAGTGATAGTAGGGGCGAATGAGCCTGTGATTCGGCTCTTAGGAGAGGTGAAGGTCCAGTTGGTGAGGACGACTGCTCCATACAACAACGGAGCAGTCTACCTGGAATAAAAAAGTTGTGCATGAAAAGCCGTCTGCCATGAACCGGTTGTACGAAACGAAGTTTGCCTGCCTGTTTGTCGGTGAACTGATCCTTCCGAATTAATCAAGCATGTTTTTATTCATTCGGTTCCTAGATTTCAGATTTGTCGTCGTCTGCACGCTAGATTCAAATATTGAGGCGGCTTCAACACGAACAGAATCGGGTTGTCGTCGACTGCCCGTGAACCAAAGCGTCGCGTCTGATACCTCGCGTCTTACAAAGTCAGTACCTGTGCTGGCTTTAGCACCAGTGCTACTGCAACTTAACCTCGTTTCTCGGTGCAATGTGCACTGACTTAACAGCGTAGCATCGAGAAATGTGCGGCTATCTCGACTGAATACGCATTCGAAAGCGACTACTTAATCGAGGAACTTCTGAAACCTAGAACACTACTCACCCCTTCCTATACGAGACGCTTTGTAAGAGACACCCTCTGCATAAGAGTCACAGTGTCGCCAAACAATTTATATGATTGAGTTCTAATTACATGTGCTTATGTTTGGTCCTAACTTAATTATGTTTACCTACAAAAATGCATGCAAACGTCTTGCTCACCACTCATTGCGCGCGTCCATCGTTGTTTGGACCGCTATAGCTGGCTGAAATGATGGCCCATATCAGCCGTTCGGTGAGTGCTTCGGAATATCACCCCTTATGGTCATATACACGACGTCAAAATCGACCTTATGATAATGTTTTAATTAACAAGTTTCCAGATTAATTACATGCAACCGACTCACCCCGCTACACACTCAATGCCTTACTAAAGTGCAGACTTATACGAGCATTGAGTTTGAGTACTGCATAGGTAAATCAACGGTGCATCAATTCATGATTATAACGGAAAGCTATTTTGAGAGATCAACCTTAAAGTGAATAATAAACGACTTATGAAACATCCTGAGTTTTCGAAGGAGCTGATGATGTTCATTCACAGCGCAATAGTAACGGGATATCCAAAGATCTGGTCCTGACGAAGCAGAACGACCGCAAATGAGCCACGATATTGAACGTCATTTTCTTATGGTTTCCAAAGGCTGGCTGCAGAGTTTTAAGGAGCGGAACAACTTCAAAATTTTCGCGTTGGCCGGCGAAAGCGAGAGATTGTGTATTAGACGAAGTGCAAGTCGCAAGGTCTGGGACCCAATCTTTGATCAAGATACATATCCAAATGATGACTTTAACTTTACGAGACAAATTTATCTAACGTATTGACACTGAACAAATCCTCTACGGTTTAGAAACAATGTCGAGAAGAGCGTAAAGGTATTATTGACAGATCTCTCTGCTGCAACGCAAGTGGTTCGATCATATGGAGCCCGCGATCGTCGGAAAGTTTAAAAACCAACGTACTTAAGGGTGAGTTGATCGAGAAGGGCGGCCTCGTATACGCTGTAAACTCAAACACCTGCATAGCTGGGAAATCGCTAATAAGTGGATGCACCAATTCGGTTTTTGAATGCAAAGAACTGCTCCTTCTTTGTAATTCTTTCAGCCACAAAGTCCGACGAGAACTATACAACGTCAACGTAGTTTTTTATCGCCTACATGACTTCCACCATCCAGCAGATCGATGCAGTTACGCGTCAACATCATGATTTATGTATGCGCACCTACATGTATATTGATAGATATCATCCGATTGTTGAACGCCTGCTACAAACTTCATAATGCGATAGCGCATGGATTATTTTAAGCAAACATGGATCGTAGACTTAATGCCTTGGAAGCCATTGAGTTTGCAGCTGAGAGCTGGAACGCTTTTGGTGGGGTATCCATACGAAGTTTGTGGATCAAAAGTGAGATTATCGAAGCGCCCCACATTTCGAATTAGCGTGTACAAATGATTAATGAAAGTCCAGCCTCGCTTTCCAACAAGACTGCTGCAATCTGGCTGAGATTATAACATTCTAGGAGCAGGTGTTAAAGTGTAGGATTGTGTCGTGGTGTAGGACCACTAGAAGATTCATGGAGAGCAAGAGACTCTTATTTAAGCAGAATCGGAGCCGGCGCGAGTCGAAGCGTCGAATATCAAGCTTCTGTCAGTGCAAAAGAAGCACCAAAGTGCTGCTTACTTTTTCGTTTGTACTTCGTACGCTCATACAGAGACACGCGTATTTTTCAGTTAGATCTCGATAAGATTTATCATGTGTTCTTAAGAACCGGCATGCTAGAGCAAAACAGCTCGACAAGAGAGACTCCATTCGGTAAACAAACGTTACATAGCATTACATGTAGATGCATGTTCTGTAGCGTTACTTAAATGCCCCAATATTTTGTTCACCTATCGTTATAAAATCATACAACTAGTTTCTTACATTTTCTTTATGTAAGACTTTCTTAGAACATGCTGTAAAAATTGGGCACACATTTGTTTCTAATAGAGAGGGGCGAGTGTATAGGGTGCAAACGAAAAATTGTGCTGACCATACTTGTACGTGTGAACCGGCAGATCGAACGAGCGCATTGTCCGGATCCCGATAAAATGTTTATCAACTGCAAATTCAATAGCGTATGGTGCTACACAGGTCCGGCTTCACCGAAACGAGTTTAGTATCACTCATTAGCTACTAAGGATTCTACGTTGTCGATAAGCTAAAACGAGCAGCAAACTGGCGATCAAAGCAGATGCATATAGTTTTAATATCTGTCAAGCAGAACAACTTCGGTCGATACAGCCACGTGCTCTAAAGACCTTGTAGACAAGCACCTTCCCCCTCCTCATTGGTCACTACAAAATACGCTGCTCGCAGTAATCACCATAAGCGACCCAACTTACTATGTATCGGTAGTATCATTGAAGTTTGCGAGAATTGTGGTAGACTGTGCTATCGGTCTGATTCGCCGCAAAACAACTGTGGACATGCTTTTTGGTATCAAGTAAATAGTCTACAGAACTTTTGTCGTCGTCGTGGCCATGCAAGCCACTTTCAATCTCGCATTTTAGGTTGCAACTCGCAGCCTTGCACCGTCCCATAAGTTGTGTGCCTTATCTACCCGATCTTTCATGGTCTACCATCGCTAGATGTCCTGTTAGCACAATACCACTCAGCTGGATGTAAGAAAATATAAGCAAATGACAACTTGTGAGTTGCTACTCCTGTTTCTCATTTACCACCTTTGTAATGTGACTCATATTTTACATAAATGAATGATATTAACAAGAGTAAATACATTGGTCATTTATTTTAACCAGAATATCGATAGTGAACAAGAACTGTACCGTAAAGAGCAATGATCGCTAAGTTTTAATTGCCCAGCTGTGAAATCTCGCCCGATTTTTCGACCTTGTTATAAATGGACGAGCTAACTCGGATGATTGCTTGTGGTAAAAGGTCAGCTTCGAGTTGCAAGCAGGCAATGCGGTACTTTTACTTGTAATGGATCACCCACGCCTCGCGGTCACGTACGGGACTATATCTTTTAGTTTTTACCAGCACTCGCGAATGCATTAGAGCGTACTTGCTGTCGACGCATTCCAACCAGCATCAAACGGTCACCCTCTTAGATAAACAGACTTGGTAGGTAGTCGAGGTTGGACGACACTTAGATTGCTGTCCCGGTAACCGTCTATCAACAGTAATTTGATGCAGCATCACACGGACTGGAACAGGGCACCCTTTGTTCGGGGTGCCACGAAACTTCACGTACACAAGTACGTGCAGAGGAAGCTGATCTACGTAAACGACTCGCTTAAGTAAAGGTAAAAAGAGAACTGTATTTAATATAGTTAAGCGATCAATATAACTTCAGTCTTCATTTGACTATATTAATCTACATTGTCGTATGACGACAACCTGCTCACCACTCATTACGCGCATCTAGCGGCTATTGGTGGTAAGCTTATTTATAAAGACTTATCTTGGTTGACAAGTCTTTTATCAACCAATCTTTGAACCGTGCATATATATTACCCTACAAAGGGGTAATATTCCTTCAATATCACCTATCTCGGGTAATATTAGCGGGGAATTGTCACGCTAGACACTCTCAAAATCGACACCGTTTGGCGTCAATGTCATGTAACGGGCTACACCGATACACGGACTCTTAGTCTGGTAGGTAATATTATGAGTACTGATTGTGATGCTCAAGAAAAAGTTGACCACGTATTACAAAAACAAGTCATCAGTCTTTCATAGCGGTGAGTCACGCAACGGGCTGGACGGTAGCTACAATTTCTGCAAACAAGTCATACCACTTTACCTACCATGTTGAGGAATTATAAACGACGATAGAAGTCGGTATATCGCAATCCGCATCCACAGAAGCGTAATTTGTTACCCGAGAGTTTTTTGCTTGCTAGTAATTACTGTGGTGACGACGCGATGGCATCATTGAGAAATATAGTCTTCCATCCCCCTTTCAGTCATGGAAGAACTAGTATCGTCATCCATCTGCTCGATTTTAATGAATCAGCAAAAGCAATTTTGGTGGGACTCTCCTGTCTGCGAGAGCGCAATGCTGTTGCATCACACGATTTTTACTCGTATCAGCAGAACCGGTAGGACATCAGTGCACGGGTTGCATAATGATAATAGGAATTGCTAGGGAGTATCCAGCTAGCAATAATTAGTTTGACAACCTCGTCCCACAACATCTTCTGTGTCGAACTGATCCTTTTTGCACCGTCATCGCAGCTTCAGACACGTCAAAAATGCTCACTATACACGACATAGATGCTAGGTAATCAGTCATATTCTGTCTGTCTAAGACTTACCCAAGTCGCAGTAAAGAGCATTTGGCGAATAGATGCGAGCTGTCTGCAAAAATTTGATGCTGTACTTGATCAAAAACACAGTAGCGTAAATACCCGAATCAGCTCTGATTCACAAGCGCTCACTGAAGGCTAAGTGCGTACAGTGCGGAGGCTGTCATATGTGAAAAATGATTTGTGAGACGATTTCTCGCAACAATTTGAGAAGTTGCACGGTCGTGATTGAGTGGTGAACTTGAAAACGGAATCGCATCTGCATTAGCCGATTGAGGTTCGTACTTTACACCACTACAGATTATACTTACCATTGCAATGCTATGCTTCGAGTGTGTTTCCAGCGCTACAATCATTTTAGCAAGCCTACTCGACGGCATTCAAAAATTATTTGCAATAAAGTGCCGTCCGTCTAAGCTGACTATTGTAGTCATTCAATCCTGCTGAAGCGGAATGAGTGTAATTTGGTGCATCATATCGCTACTGGCTATGACTGTAGATGATATTTTGCGGTGAAGTTACGTAGATGACGCATGTTATGGAGGAATCCAGAGTGAGCAAAACTTGCAAGCGCCATTCCGACACATCTTACAGCCTCGATTTCGAACAAGTACGAATCGCGCGATGCAATTCCTTGTCCAACGGTTGCGTCAGCGGCGCAAGGCGTAAAGGCAGAATCGTACAACTCGCGTTAATGATCGCCATAAGAAGTATGTTATCTCTCAGCTATAGCTAAGAGCTGTCACCATAGCCACATGATATATGAGGTAAGTAGAACAATCACGTCAATAGTGCTGTCCGACAAATTTACTTTCCGCCTGACCCCCACTTCTTTTACCGTCCAGCGAGCGATGCTAGACCTAATTTGGCTCCTCATCTGCTGCATGATCTCATACTGTGGTCTTCGATATCTCTTATTGCATCTGGAAATTGAAGTACCTGATCATCCGCTGCCCTCATCACTTATAGCTCGACAAAGCGCCTCATTGTCGTCTCCATTCACAGCTGCATCATGAGCCTTCTTTACAAGTGCTCGCAAATGACATCAGCCAAATTCGACGTGAGTATCGCCTCATCTCGATCAGGAAAGTTTTTCAGGTGTGTTCTGGTTGCTACAACATTTTCATTTGGATTATGGTGCTAGATCCTGATACAGCACAACTGCCGGCTTGTGGCGCTAGATATTTGATGACCTTCTTTACAAGAAGGTCGAATCATCAACGAGAATTTACGTGGCATGGTCCGCTTAATGAAGTTTGGTCTTGAGATGAAGGCCAGACTCTGGATCTTACAGTGTTATAAAAAGTCGGCGATGGTTATGCGTTTGCGCCCATTCTTCCATGTCCTGGTTGTTGGCAGCATGTTTTCGTCGGGATGGAACACTAAGCCCTAAGTTTGCTGCCAGAGATGGCTGCTGAAGATGTGCCGATCATAGTTCTTTATGTTGCGACTCGAGCATTGCAGTGGAGTTTGGTAGAAGATAGAAGACAAGAAGATGTCAAGCTGAGCGCAATCAGGCAGCTCACCAAAGGCACGTAGTGGAACATGTGTCCGTGTCCGAAATGAGATGATCTCGTCTACTAGTCATCCAAAGAATTATGCCTTTGGTCATTCAAGACATACCTCTGTCAAATGCGTCATTGCATTGCTACAGAAACTGCAACCTTGGCTGTCGAAACGGATGTAGTTGTTGTGCGGATGTTAGTGTCATCGATGTCCTGTAGTTTTGTTCGAGTTGAACGAGTTTGGCTGCTGCGCAATGGTGCAGATCTGACTTTAGTGATCCCTTCGCTACCTGATCAACACGTTTTGTCGAATGTATGATAGATTTTACAGAATCGATTGTCATCCTTAGCAACGTCCACTCAAATCGCTCTCATGCTCAGCTTTCGAAACGAAGTTCTCTTGATATAAAACTCGCTTTATAGACATGATCGCTTTGTAGATATTGTCGCTTGGCGTTCTTTACACCACACAAATAACGCACTTCCGATTGAGAAACTTACCGGTACGTGTTAGTAAAAAAGAAGTATATTTCGTCAATATCTTACTTTAGTCGAGTCCTCTCGGCCGTATTATCAGAATGCATCTTATTTTCAGCCACTTGCATTCAGCCAACTTCGACCAGGCCTCGCACATCGCTGGATCAAATCCACGCGGATTAGGTCACTCGCTTCCGTTTTAATATTCTGAATCCTTCTTCTGATTACTGTCATCCTTAATCCTCTCGTAATCCATTCCTTAAAAGTCATTCACGCATTCACTAAAACTCAGCCCCATGTTTACTGCGACTAAAAATACCGACAGAACCTCACATCAAAGATAGGAAGCAACCTCTGGAACTCGCCCTTTGATGTAAGTAAGTAATTCACTTCATGGAACTAGATCAAGATGCAAAACACAAGACAACAGCAGCAGTCACTGAAGAATGAGTATAACGATGTGAATACCTGCATTTACCCAGTACAGTATACTCAAGCGACGCGATCAGTCTCTGCTAATGAGCGTCCAGCATTTGCTAATGTGACCGTAATTACCTATGGTCGATTTCAAGCCAATCACGTACGTGTATCACAATAGGGACCTAGCCAAAGAGTGACTTTAAATGAAGGCCTATAAACCTGTGAGGGAAGCAAGCTCACACTTTGTGCGTGTACGCATCACCTAACCGCGTTATGTACAGACAGACCAGCACACACAGAGACAGACAGACCGACAGACACGGCTAAGTACGATTCAGAAGTTCGGCACTCGACCTTGCGCATAGTCACTGATAGCTTCACCCTTCGGGCTCGCAATTATCCGGCATGGCGCTAGGACCATTACCGGACGACTTCGTACTCGAGTACACTATGTTGCACCTCATGGATGAGGAAACCACCGCATCCACGCCCCCCGCGCCCCTTTCCCACGTCGACGACCTCCTCCTGACCACGTGCTCCATCGGCGCCAGTCGCACGTCCTCGTCGTGTGCGTCCTTGGCCTGTGCGGCGGGTGGGGCCTGTTGTTCCGAAATTAAAGTGGCGCACACGAAAGTAGGTGACCCCCAGACCCCAAACGAAGTTGCAGCGTTCTCATTGGACGGCGAGCAATTTCTACAACAGATGGAACAAGTGGGTACACTCGACTGGCCTGATGCGACTCAGACGAATCAGATGACGTTCGAACATAGTGATGGTGGAGCTATTGAGGACCTCGAGACGCTTACGGACCTGGAGATGGAGTCGTCGCCGTGTCCGAGCACGTGTCCGGGCTCAATGGGCGGCCAGGTGAACGCCATTGCGGCTGACGAGTTTGAGGTTTTTTTTTATCAGCCAATGGAGATGCAGGAGATAGAGAAGAAGAAGGAAGAAGAAGAGACTGATGAACGAGGAGGTTTGAGGGGTTGTGGGCTTCCCCCTGCATCGCCACTTGCACTTGATACAACGGAGGACTCGGTGCCTGCTGGGAAGTCTGAGACAAATTCAACGAGTTTTGGAGAAGATGCTGGTGGTGTGCCTGACACACTGATTGATCAGATGCTGGAGGAGGAAGAGGAGATGGACGATGAGGAGGTGATGGAAGTATGTGGTTTGTGGACGAAGGGGCGTGTGGACAGGAGCGCTGGATTTCTGATGATGGTTGTTGTTGTGGTGATTGTTTCTTGGTAGGATGAGATCGACTTGCTCGGGAAAGAAGTGAAATATCTGGATGCTCAGATGGATTTCTTGCAGTCTCGTGCCAAGTCAAGTCGCGCTCGACGCAAGAGTGTGAAACAGCGCCGCTCAAGTGGTGCTACTCCGCCGTCGGCGCTATTGGCAAAGAGCCAAGAGGATAATCAGCTTTTGACCGAACTCGTTGCGCAGCAACAGGTGTATAGAGACAATTTCAAGGCTATGTTGGCGTTCGCTCCAGTCGTCGACGTGGTCAGTTGGATGTGCTAAATTTGGTGGAATAATGTGCCTAGCTTTTGACTGCAACTTTTGTCACTGATTTGCAGCGTATGGCTTTGATGACTCCGATTGAGTCGTACATACGGCTCGGCAAGGACTTTGATGAGAGGAGGAAGACCATTTTGTCTCTGCGCGAAGAGAAGCTTGACATAACGTGCAAGTTTATCGAACAAAAGGCTGCTGGTATCGACGTTGATCAGCCGTACCAGTACTCGGACATGTTTGAGAAGTTTGGTAAGCACTACTTTGTGGACTTTGCCATCTCCAAGTACGATGGTGTCTCCGTTTCTCAGGTTGGTCGCGCCATTTACGAACATATTGCTGGAAAGGACGAGGCACTGAACAATGCTATGGGAAGCACAACCATTCGCGAGGTACCGTGGGCCGCTTATTACGTTCATTCTCTTGCGCTGACTCTGTACACTGTTGTCTGGTGTGTAGTCCTTTGATACGATCAAGTGTAACTTTATGCACCAGCGCATCGTCTCGAGCATGAAGTGGGAGGGTGAAGATGGAGAGAAGATGCCGGACATGGAGTCGAACGCTATATTCTACAGCCGGTTCGGTGACAACTCAGCAGTCTTAGCAATCGATTACATTGACCAAGACGAGCTGCACCCATATGACACGTCAAACTGCATCCGCAGGGACATATCAAGTGGCGTAGTGCTGTCTGGTCACACGGATGCAGACGGCAAGAAGTTTGTGGTGATGAAGCGCTACTTGCTGGCCAAGTACCACATGTATCCACGCAAAGTGTCTCAGAAGCAGCAAGCTCGTTATTTTGCCAGCATGCCCAGGTGTGGCGATACGATGGAGACGCTAATCGCTGACCGTCTTCAGCGCGACGAGACGTACAATCCATGCACCGATGAGGATTAAGCGGCGAATGACTTGGGTCAAATGTCGTCTACATTTGTACAAAAGTGTGCTTGAGAGCTTGCAGCACAAGGGTTCTGGTTCGTTGCCGCTAGTCTCCGCCAGCTCTTCTGTTGCCAAGATTTCTGTCTCATGGGTTGTAAATATGTAAAAATAAAGGGCTTTAGGTTTGTATGCGCTTGCGGGCGATAACAGTTGAATGTCGTGTCACAGCCGCTCTTTGTGACGAGCAATGGTACATCAAGCATTTCAGCTTTGATCTAGCAAGTCAAGTGGCTACACTTTCGTGGCCCTTGCTGTTCGTACTGTGGCTTAAAACCCTATGATTACGACAACGGTAAGCTTGAGGTAAGCGAGGATTAGAACAGTGGGTATCGTTTCGTTACTTTAGGTGACTCGAAGTACTATTTTTCAGTCTAGCTCGCAGTGAATTTCCTACAAAAGTCCTTAAAAGTCAGGCTATTCGTCATCTTGACAATTGATTCCAAGATGCTACAACTTCTGAATAAAGGTACCTGCAGCAGTTTCTTCGCTACACCGACAGACGTCGTGCTCAAAACTATTGTGCGAGCTCACGTCCATTTACTTGGCCACGCCACGATATTTACGGCATTCCACTCGCAAGAAAAGCCATTTACAGCGATTACACAGCTTTCGATGCAAGCGACTCGGTGGATCTCGACATTCCTCTTGCTATCGACCATTGTCCATTCGGATGACCAAGACGATGACCAAGAAACTACCTAGACCTTGCTTCGAGACGATGAAGAGTTGATATGGCCACTGATTGCCGATAGCAATGTGCTACCTTTGTTGAACAGCCACAAATGGTGACACTGTTGCATATTTACCGTATTTTGGTAATGACAAAGCTGATGATAGGCGGGAGTTGATGCAAAAAGAAACTACATATTCAGCTGTCCAGAAGGAATTTTAGTCTTGGAGGATCTTTCTTCAGCAAAGACTAGAAGGACGGAAACAGGGTGATAGTGAAGGGCCAGCGGAATCGGCATTTAAATGACCTCGTCATGCAACAATCAGGTGTGTTGACAATCGAGAGGAAATGCTGGCGTCTGCGTCGGTGACTTGGTAACGATGGATCTATTGTGAAGCTAGTTCTCACAACGGCATAGTTAAGGAAGTGGTAAAGAATGAAGCTCGTTATGTGCCCTCCGGTAGTTCGAATGTGGCCTGGTCAGGACTTTCTGCCATAGGTCGAGGTCGGTGGGTGTCGATCATGAGAGCATCTTTGAGGCTGAAGCCTATGCGGGGGAGACATATTCGACACCAGTTATCGGATTAGATGTTTCGAATTTGACCAGATCAATTTGTGTTTGCTGCATCTTATTTGTGTCATTCAACAAAGCCACTGAATATGTGTGATGAAAACTGGTCGTGGGGCCACGGGATCGTGATCGTCATCAAGTTTAGCCCTTCATTTTCCTCATCAGCCGTTCTGTATCCTTAGAGCGTCTACAGCAGTGACTATCACTTTACTTTTTTATGCACTAACCAGAAACCAGTATAACTTCCTCTCAAATTTATACGCACAAAACTTCACAGCAGTCAGCATGACTAGATACTAGTAGTTTCTTTCGGCCGAACATGACTGGTAAAGTTGTGGTCGCCTTGGTTTGTTTTTTTGGTCCCCAGTTAAGCTCAACAGTAAAATGTTGCTAGTGTCATTTAGAACCACATTGTCGACTTCAAGTCACCGTCCGTCTCTGTCTCTTGGAGCCAATGACATGCATCAAAAATTGTAATCTCGGGTTTCACAGAACAACAAAACGTAGGCAGGATAACAAAAAAATGACTTTTTCTCGAGATATCCCCGAGTTAGTTCGCTGCTGTAGCGCATTTTTTTACAGCTGAATAACGGTTTTTATTTGGACAGAAACGTAAGCTAAACTGACTGCTATAGACGCTCTTAGAACGAAATGTGTAACACCAAAAAGCTATCCGATAAGCATAGAGTCTTTCATTTAACGCAGACTCTAAATTATGGTCTAGCCCCTTCAGCTTTATTCCTGCATCAAGTTAAATCTACGGATGCCCTTCACCTTTTATAGCCAAAAGCCCAACTTGTCCACCGCGCGTAGAACCGTGTCGCCCGGGGTCTTGTCAAGCGGTAGCTCGTAAACAGCTGGATTCGGAGAAGGGTCTCAGCGTCAAACCAGCCTGTTTACAGGAAATAAATCGAAGCGGTAGCAGCCGGCTCCTCATCTCTCCTCCAGTCCAAACGAGGGAATTATTCCGACCCTTTCCTGAAAAGCGTCTGTACTGATGTACTTACAGCCCTCTACACTTGCTCAGGTCCAGCTGCAAATGGCGCCAATAAGCCCCACCGGAACTCGAGCCAGAAGGACGTCGCAGTCGTCGTCGTCCGCTTCGCAGTCGCCACTGGCTATGGAGCTGGAGCTGGAAAAGAAGAAGAAGAAGCCGAAGCGTCTGTACAAGAAACGCCGAGCGACGCACGCAATCCGGAGAGAGCAAAAGCTGACGATGGAGAAGGAGATCGAGGAGCTACAAGTGAAGCTCGCCGAGATCAAGTTCCGAGCGCTGCTGTCACAAGGACAAGTGTCCCAGTCGTGCCATAAACGAGCAGTGGAGAACGCAGTTCTGAGTGAATGTATTGAGGACCAACACCTGGTCATGGCCCACGTGCGAGCGTTAATGTCGGGCCCTCAACTGCACGACGCAAGTGGCGTGCGACCGATGAGGACCAGAATTTGCTTAGGTGCAGACAGAGCAGAGAGGGGACGCCTGCTGCGCGGGTTGCGAAAAGCCAAGCTCCGTCGAGCTAAATGTTTCTTGCACGAACGGTGTTTCGGGATCCAGATGAACACGTCGTACTTCCACGAAGAGAGGTATGAGACGGTTGATGGAGACTACTTTATCACAAGATTTGAGATCACGCCACTTCACGGCGTAAAAGGAGGTGTGCGAGCTGTGTATGAGGCCGTGTTGCAAGCTGCGGTCAATATAGAGATTGTGATCTCCGAGATATCGGGAAATATCACGGTGCGTGAAGACGAAGACATGTGTGACAATAGCGTCTCGCAGATGCGACTGGTGTCGCAGACAACACAGGGCGTGCTTTTGGAGAACAATCTGGTGCATTTTTCTGAATATTTGCAAGGTGAAAGTGACTTCGATGGCGACGGTGACGGGGGCTATGCACTTTCAGCGTTGGACTTTGTAGACGAGGATGCTATTTATCCATACAGACCGCTTGAGCGAATACGACGTGACGCAACAACGGCCATGCTGTTAACGTCGTACAGAGAGCCTGGCCCCAATCATGACCAAGAGCAGTTGGCGACAGAGGGAGAGCTTGTTGTGGTGATCACGCGGTGGTCTTGTGTGAAGATACATCGTACGGAAATGGATGTGTCTCGCGAGGTGCAGCTCGGACTCCGACAAAACTGCGTTCACTCTCAAGATACTTTTATGAACTGCGTACGAGATACACTCGGTCTTTCGGTGGACGCAACATAGTCGAGTTTGCAGCATCCAAACATACGGGAGGCTACATGCAATAGTGTATCTGATCAAGTCGTCGTATCGTGAAAGGCATAAACTCAAAACAATATGTTGCGCTGCACACAGAATCGTACAGTCGTGTAGGCATAAGGGTGTCGGCGCGAACGCTCAGCGACAAATTCGGCATTCCCCACCAATATTTGGAGACCATTGACCACGTTTTAGCAGAAATCGAGTCTCAGGCTGCCAGCAAGACAAAAAAGGAATCAAAACGCGTGTGATCGACGGAGATAACGGGTTGTTATAGTGAACCGTAATAGTATGCCGTCTATCTGATGTAGACTTTCCAGTCAGCAGGTCTGAACATGGTTCATTGATGTGGGGCCTGGATCAATGATCTCGGCTGGAACGAACAGAATCTTGTTCTGTTATCATACTGACCTAGCCTTTGTTCCTGCTGCGTCGGTATCGACAGGTGCTGAAAAGCCGGCGGGTCGACACCTTTGTGCACCATTACCAGCAATTTTAGTAATGGTGTTTCCACTGCTCAATCAAGGCTAGTCAAAAGACACCGTATTTATGAGATAGACTTCGCTGATAAATAACTAAATCAATCATTATTCGTGCCGACTGTTTTTGCAGCTTGCATAATTTCCAACTTGCCATAAGACACCGTATTTATGAGATAGACTTCGCTGATGAATATTTAAATCAATCATCATTTGTGCCGACTGTTTTTGCAGCTTGCACATATTCCGTGACTTTTCCTCGTCTAAACACCCCTGTGAACGCTGATGTTTCTCCACATGAAAATACTTCGGTTATCCACGAACGGCCAGCACATGCCATAAAGTTATCTGAGATTGACACACTTGGTCGTTCAGTCGTCAAATCGTAGTAAATGATACTAAATAGATTCAGGTGCATTTGCCAAGATGCAGACTATAATCTGTGGTCACTTCCAAGGTAGATGTAGCGACAAATGCACGCTTTGAAGCTTGAAATATATAAGCGATAACGAGTTTGATTTGGTGCCGTGACTGTATCCAGCGCAACGAACTAATCCGCGTATAACTAAACATACTGGGCGGTCGCTAAGGTGTAGGCAATTCGTGCAGATCAGTTTGTCTCTCATACAGCATGCATCCGATAGAACATTTGAATTTATTGTGGTTAGCACATACAGTGGCACACTATGCCGAAAGCTTAAATTAGTGAGCGTCGTTCTGTCGTGATTAACACGACAAAATCACGCTCCCACCAGAAGCTGTGTTGAATACTTCATAATAGTATTGCCGAGAGTGTTTCAACATCAAATCTCGCCAAATCGTGCGCTTCGTGTTTGATCGCGGTCGAAAACTTAATTTATCAGCAATACACGAGTATACTTCTAATCGCAACAGCGACGAAATAACTAATATATTACTTCTGCATAAAAATTGAGACCTGGTCCACGAAGAGGACAAAGCTTAGCCAGCTCTAACTCAGAACAACGCACTGCTACGTACCCGCTTCCGCAATACAAACAAAGTATGTTTTATTCTGCATTGGCTGGACGGACGCGTTCGTGCTAAAGTTTTGGAGCAAGACTTTAAGATAGAGCCACAAGCTAACAAGTGTCTAAGAATAGTCATTGAAACGCGCTCGATCGAGTTTCGATGCAAGCTCGCGAGAAAGCGGCTATTTGAATTAGATAGCAACGTAGAGGTCAGCTTGCAATTCTAATGATCGTTGTTCTTGTAAGTTCTTAGTGAATGTATCATGCCTCAGTCATCAATTAGTTAACGGTTCGTGCGGTTAGAGTTTTCAGTCGACACAATTGTTGGTGGTAGCTGGTTTTGGAATGCAGCGAGTTCTAAAAATCGCGTATTTCCGACTAGATAGCTGTAGATCACTACAATAATGGTACGTTGTGTGGCGGCGCTTTTTCCTTCGTTCCTTCTCTTAACGCCTTACTCAAGATAGAGGTGGCACATTATTCTGTTTGTCGTCATGCACAATCGTCATGTCAAGATTGTGGCATTCAAGACAACTTGCCTTGATCTATAGTTTCTTTGCATTATCGAGAGCGAACACGATCGTCTGTGTAAATGCGGTGATGGGTAGACTAGGAGCTTAAGTGACACAAGAGTTTTGCTCATTGCTATGTATGCGGCCTAGAGATATAATTTTGAGCAGCTTGCTATCAATACAGGAGGGACACAACTGTAGCGATAGCGCGTATCCATACTTCTATAGTTTGTTGCATGTATTTCGATGACTTCTTCATTCAAATCAAAAGCCAATCCAGTGCAACCGTCACCGCCGAGTACGAACGTCAATACATGGTTATGATGCATCGCAAAGCACACTTTAATGAATGAAGGCGAGATTGTGTCCGACTCGGCAGGTTTGTAAACTGATGTACACACACGTATCGACGATGAATTAGAAGAAGGCCTTCTACACCATGCCTTCCAGATATGTCGGGGTTCTTTGCCTGCACCCAGTTACACGCATTTTTGAGTACTGCCATATAAATCATCATCATGGAAATCGAGTAGGCACCGTCATACTTCGAAAACACTTCTATCATATTAGGTGGTCGTTGCTTTCCGATTCGGATCAACTGCATGTCTTGCTTTGCCAACATTTACGCATACGTGATGTTGAAGGTATACGTCACAAGCGTCATTCAGGCTTTTCGATAGCACACTTGTTTACCGAAACTGAGACCGTAAACATTCTAGAGAAGGCTCTCTTGTATGTATGTGAAGGCCAACAATCTTGGCCCTTAAAATTGCTTCAACTGAACCAGGCAGCTATGAGCATTGCTGGTGTTTGGCAGGGCTGGACTAGTTATAACTCGGTAGATCAGTTTGACAAATTGCTGGTGTGAAGTATTGTCGTATCAATCTCGCATAAAAGATTCATGATCAGTCCCGGCGAAGGCTACGCATAGCGGGCACCTTTTTGCATTGCTCGTAGAAACGTCTTAGAAGGCAGTATTAGTTGACATGACATAATCTATGTATGCTAACCCTACTCTTCTATGACTTTACAGGACGAAAACTTGAATCTCGTTTACGATGGCTTTGTCAGAGTAGTGATCGATACGTGGTCAAGCGTACATGACTTGTGACTTCGGTAAACCGAAACAAATTGTCAAAAGATTTGACCGCACGTCCGTTATGCACACAATTATAGTAGATACACAAGAAAGGGCTAACGTCCAACCCCAAGGTAAGAAATGATTGACGAGCTCGATTGCGCACCATTTTAATTCCTCACAAACACGCGGTGCCAAAGTATCTGGCCTTACAGTGTACCGCAATGAACCGTCACATACTCTTCGAGACGACATCACATCTATAGTTTTTTGATCATGCGATGCTTATCGTGTCAGTCCTCATTTCATCAAATTACCTTCGCCAGGTTGATGTTTGACAGTAGCCTTTTGTCGATCGGCATGATGAGGTTACAATGTGATAGCAATATCTTTCCATTTAAAAATAGTCCACGGTTATGATGAAAGTGGAAAGAACTAATATCAACTAGAAATATGTGTTGTCTTACAAGCTGCAGTATCGGCAATAAGGTTTCGCTTCACACCAACCCAGTCCCTGGATCCGACCAGCTAAGAAGTCTTTGAAAATCGCCATCAAACCTGTGTATGGCAGCTATCAGGTTTGACTAATGCATGCAGATTGGACTTTTGCCTGAAAGAATGAAGTAAAGCACCTTATATTTACAGCTAATAGTAGCGTTTATCGATAACTTGAATATGTTCTGGAAGACTTTGACAAGTGCACTACTATAAACTAAAATATTCTCAACGATGAGGGTACTCTATCGTCTGTTTTATCCCATCCCACAACTTTTGGAGACGAAAATCGGTCCAGAGATCCGATTTTATCCATTTCTATATTTCATTGTAGAAACGTCTAATAACTAGCAAATTTCAGTGGTGGGCGTCACGATACAAAGAAGCCATAGAAAACATGCCCCGCGAAGAGACCAAGAGACGTAAGTGAGCGATCAACTCCCCCTTCTAGTATCAAGCCACACAGTAGTAACCTATTGCTAATACTACTGACTGATACGTCTCTTATAGGTACGCGCCTTGTTGATGAGGATGATGGAGAGACGGTGGAATTCACCACGTCCAAGGATATTTCTATCTTTCCCTCTTTCGAGGCCATGGGACTCAAAGAAGACCTTTTGCGGGGCATTTACGCCTATGGTACGTGTTTAGAAATTTGGTTTAGAAATTTGAAGAGTATCTAAATTGTTGCTATATGGTGCTGTATAATGTGACTTTAATTAACTACCGACATAATGTCGTCATTATCGCTCGATGCTATGTGTTATACTAGGGTTCGAAAAGCCATCAGCGATCCAGCAACGTGCTATTAAGCCTGCAATCCAGGGCCGAGATCTGATTGCTCAGTCGCAGTCTGGAACTGGCAAAACGGCGGTGTTCTCCATCTCAATTCTTCAATCTCTAGACACTTCCAGTAACGAGACGCAAGCGCTCGTGATCTCCCCGACTCGGGAATTGGCCGAGCAGACCCAAAAGGTGGTATTGGCTCTTGGAGACTATATGAACGTGCAGTGCCATGCTTGCATTGGCGGCAAAAGTGTGGGGGAAGATATTCGCCGACTGGACTTTGGTGTGCAGGTAGTGTCCGGTACACCAGGTCGGATTTTTGACATGATCCGACGTCGTAACTTGCGCACACGGAATATCAAGATGCTGGTGATTGACGAAGCTGATGAGATGCTGAACAAGGGCTTTAAAGAGCAGATCTACGACATTTACCGCTACTTGCCGCCGTCGACCCAGGTGCTTTTGGTCTCAGCTACCATGCCGCAAGAAGTCCTTGATTTGACACGCAAGTTCATGAACGAACCTGTGAAGGTTTTGGTGAAGCGCGATGAGTTGACGCTGGAAGGCATCAAGCAGTTCTTTGTGGCTGTGGAGAAGGAGGAGTGGAAGTTTGACACGCTGTGCGATTTGTACGACACGCTGACAATCACGCAGGCTGTGATCTTTTGTAACACAAAACGAAAGGTGGACTGGCTCACATCCAAGATGCGTGAGGCCAATTTCACCGTGTCGGCGATGCACGGTGACATGCCGCAAAAAGAACGTGACGCCATCATGCAGGAATTCCGATCAGGCGGCTCACGCGTGCTCATTACCACAGATGTATGGGGCCGTGGATTGGATGTGCAGCAAGTATCGCTGGTCATCTGCTACGACTTGCCGAACAACCGCGAGCTGTATATCCACCGAATCGGTCGTTCAGGCCGTTTTGGCCGCAAGGGTGTTGCTATCAACTTTGTCAAGGATGATGACGTTCGTATTCTGCGAGACATCGAGCAGTACTATAGTACGCAGATTGACGAGATGCCTATGAACGTGGCGGATCTCATTTAAGCGAACCAATGAGCTTCGCACGTGTTATCTTGCTTTGAATTGAAGCACTTGCTACTGCCAAGCAAAAATAGTTTTTTCATGTGTCATGGAGAAGTTGGACTGCTATCAACTAGTTGTGCTCTGGAGAATTTGTCATCAACTGAATGAAAGCACACAGTGACGCCGTGCACGCTCTCCTCATGACCAACGGCTGTCGAAGCTGCATCGAAGGCACAGCAAACATTTTGTCGATTTATTTCTAGCTTTTCATCGACTTCTCGAATGGAGACCTGTCGTCTACTACAAGTTCCCCGCAGTAGTTGACTTGACGAGATCCTTTTTCCGCTCTTTGTTTCTCATACGCATGCACCTAGAAGGTCTCAGCAGCTCTTCATTATGTTCTTGATAGTATACAAAGTGTCACCGACACGTTCGTCGTCCGGTGGTAGCTCTTTAGCACCACAAACTCAAGCATTCCTTAATTTGTTAATCCTAAGAGCATGTCGTACCAAAACAAATAAAAACCGGTGACACACTTGTAGCCTAGACAAGCAATGACGTTCTCATTGTACCCGTAAAGCAGCGTTATAAAACTTAGCAACAGACAGTGCTGTTTACAATTACGAATGACAGCATCCAAAAATGCTTATTTCGATAAGGTTTCGTTAATTTTCAAAGAGAAAGAGTACTGCTTCATTAACGCCAACAGCAAACTGCATTAGCTTTAGCCGATACCGCGTTCGTTGGCGATTATAAAGTGCGAGCACTAGAATCGTGCAAGTGGAAGCCAACGAAGGGCGATCACTACGTTTTGATTGCTGATTTAAAGCTTTTAGAAGTGCAATGTTGGATATGCGATGACAAAGGCGAGCACAGGGCATCGTAACGTGACCTTTTACAGTCCCAGCATGTTGCTGCCACCGATGTAGCCACTACTCTGAGTCTTCAAGTAAACCAAAGGCTGATGACGGTTGTCGACGACGTCAATAATCGATTCGCTTCAATCCAGCAACTTTTCGATCATTCACACCCAACCAGTCCTCATGGCTCTAACACAGGCGACTTCACAGTGGTTTGCTTCGTGTTTCACTGGAGCCCGAGAGAAGCAGAATGTTCAGTTCATTTACACTATGAAATGAGGAGCAATCAGCTATGTCCAAGTTCCATTCCGGTGCATTGATTTCGAAGTTGGCAAGATGCAGTGTCATGTTTTGAGCAGTGTCGGATCACCAGACGCACAAGGGCTTCAATAAGCACAACGTAAATTGAAGCGGCATAACGCACGTCACCTTCTCGATCTGATCCGACTGCCTCAAATTGTCAAATGCGTGTTGGGTCTGTCTATAAAGCAAAAAATATACAGCGCATAGTAGTCTGTTCAGGCAAAAACGTTCGAAAAGACGTGCATCGGTTTTCATACAAGAGAGCGGGATGCCCAAAGAAAACGTCTGCTATAAAAGTACAGGGCATAAACTCCATCGTCCTGTCGGCGGCATTTTGTCAAAATGAAGTAGGCAATGAAAAAGAGCATCCTTGATTTCTTCTCATACGCTCATCGAGAGCTTTGGCGTGCCTTCTACATAGAATGTGGCGCTGACGCGGTAATGCCCCCCAATCGCCAAGTCTAATTTGTTTTCTCATTCTCAATGAGCAGAAGACTGTTTCGGAAGTGGCACTTATCTTGAGATTGCTTGTAGAACAGCCCACGTATATTGCTGATGATGTACACACGTACGCGTACTTTTGCTATTGTTACCATACGTATCTGCGTATCGACACAAAACAGATTATCTAGCGAAAGGTGTTCAATCAGTCACCATATGCTTGCAGGTAATCTGTCGACGAACGAACCGGCACCACAACATGTTACCCTCGAGCAATCTACACCAGTGTACTTACACGTCCATCAGCAATGCATAAAATCGAACTCTGTGCGAGCTCGTTTGTCGTATGAACGTACTAACCATTGACAGCTTTTCGGATCGACTGGACTTCGACCTCACCCCAGCTCGCGATACCTTCCTTCAGCGAGCGCACGGCGTTTCTTGAAAGTTCAAACGCAGGTCTGTGTATCTTCATAAATGCAGCACGCTGCATCACAACCACGATCTCATTACTGCCTTCAGCCCTAACTTCATCCTTATCGGCCGCATTACGAATTTGCTGCTCTCTCTCCGTCGATTTTGACGATTTGCACGTCATTTGGGTGAGCACAGTAGTCGCACTAATATCGATCCGCACTCTCTTTTCAGAATCGTATGGGTACAGGTCATCAACGTCAACGCTGTCTGTGACCATCACTGCACAAGGTCTCCCATCCATCATTGCCGACTCTTCGAGGTATTCCGTCAGCACGACCTTGTTCACCTCGGACGTAATCCCATGGGTATCCGTCGACACTAATCGGTAGTTCCACATTGAAGTGCTGTCATCCATCGTGTCGTAGTCTTCACGAACAGTCGTGTGTCCCAAAGCTTCCGAAATAGTGATCTCCATGTTCAGCATGAAGTATTTGATAGCTTCAAACACCTGTCTCATTGACTGCACGCCCGTGAAATGGAAAAACTCAAATCGATCACAGCAAAAGTTGCCGTGGGTGTCTTCGTACCGGTGGTCCATTAGCTGAGGTTTTAGGAGGTCGAGATGCTGACTCCGAGCCACCACATATTGGCAACCCCTTGTGATCATATCACTTTTGAGGCTCAGCAGTGTTTGACGTCGATCACGCCATTCTCTAGGCAAGTAGATGTGTCTGCATAATGGACTTCCGATATGACTCTCCTGAAATAACACCACAATCACATTCCAGCCACACATATAGAATTTCAATCCCTGCCTGAAACTAGGATATTTCATAAAATATAGACATGGTGTAGTGCAATAATGGTACCTGCATCCCTGCGAGTAACGACTGGGCCTCGGCCACTATTAGCTGTTGGTTATGTATAATATCTCGGAGGGAATTATTCCGGCCTGTGACGTCCAAAATTTGAGCCCGAGCGCTCCTTGGACGAGCCTGGATCTTCGCAAAATGACTGCGGAGAACCCTCAGCTCTTGCTCAAGCTTTTTTCTCTCATCTTGTTGCACGAGATACGAAGGTTTGCGGCGCCTGGGTACGCGGCGTTGATTCTCCATGATTAGTCTTGTTTTTAAATATTACGTTCAAGAGTTTATAGTTTACTTAATATTGGCATCGATAGTTTAAACGGTTAGATCGATAGATCGTAAATGTGCGAACCCATTTGCCAGAGACATACTGAATTGCGGCTAATCCAATTATCCAGCAAATTTTACGCTGCGAGCCTCAATCGTGTTGCCCTTAAGTAATTTGATGCTATTAGTAAATTAGGTCGACAAGCCAGCGTGCCGTCGAATTGGTTGCCTACATGCAGTTGACCACCGTGCTTTGTGAAGAAAAAAGCGAGATATTTTCAATTGAATCATTAAAACATCGTAGATGATAGCCACCAATTGCATCAGGAGATAGAAATAAGAAGAACCGCGCAGCGCCTGTAAGACAGTTGTACACGCCTGACAGTTGTACACGCCTGGCATTTCAATCGTATGACTGTACGATGAACACCGCGAGCAAAGAGCAAAGCATCTTTGGAATCTGTGTCTCTCGGTGACCTGAAGTCCTGGAGACCGCCAGTAAAAAAGAAAAAGGTTAGTATGTCAGACAACTTGATTCGGAACAGCCACTACCATTTGCAATCAATTGATCAAAGGCGGCAAGAAAGACGCCGACTTTCTTGACAGCTTCAATCCAAAATTAGTGTGGCCAGTGGAGCGAAGACGCTTCTTTTGCACTTCGCGCAGTGATACGCATGCACCCCGCTTCCGCGATCATGCATCTCTTCCCGACGAGCAATTGCAGTAGCTCGTATTCGCGTCGTCTGAATTTGTAAGACTGGTCAATCTTCGTTTCTCACCATTTTTCACATGGCGTACTAGAAACTGAATAGATGCATATGGCTGATCTTGTAATCTTGTCTCTAAGGCCTTAAATAAAAGGTGTAGAATTGTACCACTTTATCACGACTCGCCACAACTCCGATTGAAATAACTTCCGACTTCTTTCGATTTACCGACCATTGGGCGGTTGGGTTAACATGTGGCAATAGTATGGCAAATCAAAACGGGATGAGCCCGTCATTTGTCATAGATGATTACGTAAATACTACCTAAAAGAGATGACATTCAGTAAATTACAATATTGTGTAATGTTGTGAGAAGTACGTTAAAGGTAACAAATACAGCTCTCTATTCATAGGTTGACATACTGCAGGCCAAAAAATTTAGTCACGGAATTATGACAGAGGCGTCAATGAGTGGTGAGGTGGTAGCTTTATCATATTTCACAAATTCATGTAGAGCAATTCTTGAGATAACGTTAAGACTCAGTCTTAATGAGCGAGGGAACACTCAACTTACTTCACAATAGTGCTTTTGGTGTTTCCAGTTAGCTCCATGCAGCACAAACTCGTAACATGAAACACACACACAGCAACACATACCATCTGCGATTTTACACCATGTGTAATTCAAATACTCGATCGAAGTATTCCCAACCACATATAATATGACATCCGTCTGGATAAAGTCTAGGATGCGCTCTAGGACAACCTATTGACGGTAAAGGTCAAAGAAATAGTAAATTAGAAAATTGAGTAGAAGTAAAATCCCCGGGTATTATGCCCAGAGAAAGCGTTAAAGAACTTGTACAAACAGGATAAAAGCTGAAGATAGTTTATTCCTGCTACAGGAAGCCTGTCATGCGGTTGACAACTATATAAAGGCAAGTGATAAGTTTTGACGACCAAGAATGTCAGGAGTGTTTTTTTTGGAACCAAACTATGATCAGAGCAAAACTTTGGTGTTTGTCCGCTCTTTTCAAAAATTCGACCAGCGCTTGTCTCAAAACTGTACTCTATTTATTTGTGCTCAAGTCTGGTGACTAGAGTCCTGTTGCAGTTCGCAACGATGAGCAGCAGCACCTATACAAGTGGAACCAGTTTGTCAATTTCCTCGGCGCATCCCCATAACCTTGCCATCCTTACTAAATGAGTGGCAGAAGTGCTCAATTTTTCATGCGTCGGTCTTTGCATGACCCCGTAGTAATGCGCATTAATCATAGTAAGGTAAAGCCCCGGAAATGTATATTGCTTGCCAGCTGAACATGAGCGATGTGCGCATAAATGTTCTCCACTTCTTAATTTGCTCTAGCGTCTCGAAGTGACCAATGTCGATACTTTATGATTTGGAGCGTAAGACGAGGAACTACTGCTCATGTGCCTGCTGATAATTTTTTCTTCGGCAAGCGAATGTTTCATTAACAAAGTGCTGTGAGGACTGGCCCCATATCCCTACAACCTACAAAACTAACCCAACTTAACTTCCCTTGCTGCATCGTCGGCGTGCCAAGAGTGGACCAGAGATATACCAGTTCACCTTTCTTCATGAGTACAGAGGGTGACAAAGAATATGTGTAGGAGATTTGACTTGTACGCCATCCATTAGGAATTTTTGCATAGTGCGACGAAATTTATGACCACCAAAAAAGTCGCTCTTATAAATGCTATAGACAAAGTTTTCCCGGAAGTTCAAGTTTTGCTCTACCGAATGACATATCGGCAAGCTATGGACGAAATTACGCAAAGATTATGAGCCAATGAAGGCGTATAAGAAATTAACGCACCAGGGGGCCATGATTCTTCTGCTGTTTACCACATCAGCTTACAAATTCCAGCATACACGAGAAGAGCTTTTCCTGATTTTTTGTGACTCAACGTACGAGGTGATGTATGTTTCGTAGTTATATACATATAAAACCCACTTGTGACATGTAACGACGTCACGCGTTATAAGCGCCCAGATATCGTTTTTTGAATTGAATGCGAGGTAAGCCGTTTCAACATACGTATGGCTAGTTTGGTCTTCTAAAGCTATTTTGGTTTCTACATAAAAGATTAAGCTTCCATATTTGTAATGATCTTCGTGGACTGTGAGCGCAGATTTTTTTGGCTAGCTTTCTGCGGGCGACTTGTTTCTCTTAGCACCGAACAGAAGACGTTCAATGAATGTCTGATATGCCATTTGAATCATCTCTTAGTGGTTATGGGCAGTAATTTCGCGCGGGCTTGCGCTCTACTTACCAGCAATATCAGGAACGCAATTCACGAGAACATTGTTCCAGTAAATTCGACATCTGCTCGTGTAGCTGTGCCTTTATGCTGTATTTATCGTTACTTCATCCAAGTTTGCTAACATTAACCAAACAGAATCCTTTTCAACGCGCCTTTCGAGTAAATATTCGCTCCCTCATTATTTAAGACTCCGAAAGGCATAGATGGCTGGTCCAATCATTGCGCAATGCACACTTGTACGTAGCAGCTGCTACTATCAGTATCGTGACTGTTGATATCGATAGCATCTTGCACAGGATTTAGGTCAAAATCAATGGCTCGCCAACGTTTTACCGACGGGTGATTCTCGACCACTGTACGCATATGCTCAGTGCGAACGTATCAAATTTTGCGCGATATCGGGTCAAATGCGTCCACGTCTACACGGTTACCCGAAGATTCGTGAGGTGCCAATATAATAATGATCTTGCGAATTTCCAGGCATGTAGATACGTAAAGACATAGCAACAAGCATCAAACAAAGCACACCGCGAAAGAATCGATCAATCGCTTTATTAAGGCCATGTTCATTGCCCAATTCTCATCATTCTTAACATCTTGACTAACTTAACGGTACCCAAAAATGAAGCGAAGAAAACGCAAGGCAGGTGCACACTCAGCTTAAAAGGAGGATTCAAATAAGGCTCGTCTACGCCGTCTCGCGATGCAGAACAGTCCCCTCAATATGTCTAGAATGGATAACGTCCCTCTTTATAAAAGCGTACATGATGTACGTATCTTATATGTAGAAAGGAGTCGCGGACCCATATGAACGATGCTAATACGTGCAGTATGTTGTGTCTGCTACAGGTATGGTTTGCACGATAAACTATGCCAAGTATAGCCAAGTCGTGACTCCATCTGGTCAATAGATTATAGTATGTTGTCACCAGCCTTTTGACGTCAGCAAACGTATCTTCTTGAAAGCATGCGTTTTCTGTCGAGCGCGGGACAGTACAAATGTTTTGCCGCATCGTAATCCAGACACACTGAGCATTTAAATTAATGGACTTCTCCCCTCCGGTTAAAAGCAGTGGTATTCTTTTGAAACTACGTGAAGTAGGTTAAAGACCAGGCAGAATGAAGTATCCATGGTATAGAACATCCCGAATGACGTGAGCTGTGGTTTCTTTACAAACGCTGTTCTGTATGGGTTGAACGGTCTACGGCTGGATTGTGCCTGAGGAGGATTCGATTGAGACGATAGTAAACTAAGGTCATCTCATGCAGAATAGTGCTCGGTATTTAATGTAACTTGTAGGAAAAGTGTCAGGCTTTGGCGTTATTCCAAATAATTATATTGCGTTGTGATGGAACGTATTAATGTTAAGTATAAGTATAATAGAGGCAGGAGTGAGTTTACAGCACAGTTAACAACGTCCGGTGGTAAACTGGATGTGATGACCTTGTATGTAACAGGGCACCCTTTTTTTGTCGTTCCACGAAACTTCACGTATACTAGTACGTGCAGAGGAAGCTGATCTACTCAAACAGCTAGTCTGAGTAAAGGGTAAAAAGAAAACTGTATTCAGTACATTCAAGCTATCAATATAACTTCGGTCTTTATCTAGCTAAATTAATCTACATTGTCGTATGACAATAACATTCTCATCACTCACTACGCGCGTCTAGCGGCGATTGGTGGTAATCTTTGTTGATACGTCCATGATCAACTAATCTTGAAGCAGCGCATGAATATTATTATCTTACAAGGGGATAAAATTCCTTCAATATTACCTATCCCGGGTAATATTGGCAGGATATTGTCACACTAAACAATCTCCCTATTGACACAGTTTGATGTCAATATGATGTAACGGGCTGCCCCGTTACATTGTACGTGTAAGCACATGCCTGAGCTGTAAATATCACGACATCGTTGGCAAGACATGTGCTGAAGATGGCTAGGAGTTTGAGTCGGTGAACGAATAATCCAGGAGGTTGCAAGTT